TATTTGTCTTGAAAACAGCTTACTTTCTAAGTGATTCGATGTTTCTGCTTTAAAAAAGAAAAAAATTGGTTCATTTCTCTAGTTTTAATCAAAAATTGACAAAGGTAAATTTGTATTTATATTTTGGTAAACAACTCTTGAATGTAAAAGGCTTCTAATGCAGAAAATAAGTTCTTTAAAACATTTTTTCACTACTATTTGTTTTATGTTTAATATTTAGTTCAAAAAATTAATGAATGTTTAAAAAAATTGACGTTATAATTGGTTAATTTATTATTAGTACGATTTGATTGGTAAAATGACAAACTTAATTAGACCAATTAGAAATTATAAAGATTCGAATTATTTGCATTTCTATAATGATTTTCTTAAATATCTTTGTTTTGTAATTTGTCACAGAGCCAAAAATCGTCTTTGAAAGGCTAGGAATTCTATCAAAATCTAAATATATTTTATATTTAAATTTAAAATAACGTTATAATCATTAAAATTTTAATTTTAGAACGATCTCATAACCAACTCGTAATTTCCTCCTTCGGCCTTTGTAACTTTTTTAATCACCAAGAACTGAAAATTAAATAATAATTTTTTCTAGGTCCTCCTGGTCCACCAAGGCTCTAAAATAAGTTTTTCCCGCGTTTTCGACTTCGAAGCAAACGATCTCAGCGGTGAGGAAAGCGAGTCGCGGACCAGCCCTTTCGAGAGCCGATTTCCCATCAACGTGGGAATCACCGGTTACGTGGCCACGACTGGAGAAACGGTTAATATACCACTGGCCGAGGAGGACGACCGTTTTGACCCCAGCGTCGACGAAGGCACCTCTTTCAAGCACAAAACCATCCTTTGCATGCCGATCAAAAACTCCCTAGGGCAGATCATCGGAGTTATCCAATTAATAAACAAATTCAACGATCTGCCTTTTACTAAAAACGACGAGAATTTTGTTGAAGCTTTTGCGATTTTTTGCGGCATGGGGATTCACAATACACATATGTATGAGAAGGCGGTGGTGGCCATTGCGAAACATAGTGTCACTCTGGAGGTGTTGTCCTATCATGCGACGGCGAGTATGGAGGATGCACAGAGGCTAAGGGTGAGTGGAATTTTTGATCACTTTTAGTTAACACCCTGTATATTAAATGCAAATACAAATTACAACAAATCCTGGCTTTACAAATGTCCGAATTTGAGTTGACAATTCGTATTAGTAAAATTGCTAGAAGATTTTAAATAAAAGCATATACAGGGTGAGTCTGCACAAAATGTGTCTGAGAAACCAAATAAACTAAATGTTTTTAACTCAGTCTGTATCTATGTTTAAAAAATTGCAGAAAAATGTATATCTACAGTGTCCTACAAAATTATTGACTTTTAAATGTTAAAATATTCAAAAAAAGCATATTCGAAATTTGTAGACATTTAACTTTTTGTTTCACATGAAATAAGATACGTCTGTTTGCGTTTTTTGATGTAAGAGTAGTTGTTAATTTCGATGATTTTTTACAAAATTTTTATTTACTGAAATAATTTATTTTTTAGATCTTACACAAAAATTAAGTTTACGAGTAAAAGAAAATTTTGAAAAATAAAAAGACAAACTTGGTGCTTTGACACTTTTTAGTATCTGATAAAAAATGGCTCATTTCTTTTAGTTTTCAATGTGTATGAAGATGACTAAGAAATAAATAGTAGTGATGATGGAGAAATTTTTTTTTAACTTGGTTGATTCTCCTAGTAGCACAGTTAAATAACGGTTATATAACTATGTACCATTAACTAACTGTTATATAACCTGGGTTAGGTTTAAATAGAATGACTGTTTAACGTGGTTATATTTTGGTTATACAGGGTGCGCCAGAACTCGCGCCCCAGAGAAGATAAGATAAGGAACATGGAATAACGTTAAAAAAAATCTATCTATAAAAATTTCGAAGTCATGAGAGTTTAAATTTTGCACTTTGACTATTTATTTCAGTTGGAAAAATAATTTCCCAAGTTTTTTTGCTACAAGTTATTAGAAGAGAAAACAAGGAAGCTGTATCCTAAATTGTAACTCTGTTTAATGTTATTTGTGGCTTTTATTGGCAAAATGGTTGTACCTTTACTAAATAATTATAAAAAAACATATACAAGATCATCAGTATCATTAAATAGATATAAAAATGTCAAATAATAAATGTCAAAATTTTTTGCCATGTTTCTGGTGTCTTATCTTACTTGAAATTTTTCTCTAGAGCGCGAGTTCTGACACAATTTGTTGTTATTTTTGTTTTTATTATATATTTTTTTCTTATTTGGGGTTGTTTCAGAGTTTGAGGGTGCCATCGGCGGCCCATTTCAGGCTACACGACTTCGCCTTCGACGATATCAACATGAACGATGATGAGACTCTCACTGTAAGTTTTTGATTTTTTTTTTTTTTCGTTTTGAAGGAAATGTTTGTTTGCAGGCCTGTATTAGAATGTTCCTCGATTTGGATCTAGTCGAACGCTTCCACATAGATTACGAAATATTATGTAGGTGGTTGTTATCAGTGAAAAAAAATTACAGGAATGTTACTTATCATAATTGGAGGCATGCCTTTAACGTCGCACAAATGATGTTTTCTATATTGACGGTAAGTAATCCGAGTTTTAAAAACATTCAGTTAAGAAAATGAAGAAAAAATCAAACCTATTTTTTTTCTTTATTTTTTTTATGTTGTACAGGGTGACCCACCTAAGATAGGTTTGTAATAGAAATCTTATCTAGATCACCCTGTGCATCAAGAATCAAATGAGTTAGGAGTATTATTTAATAAAAATTTCTTTCTGGCATTGACAAAATTATAAAAAATAAGTGTATTTCTTTAAATACGACAGTGAACTTAAATAAATAAAAATGTGTAAAAACTTCTCAAATTAATCTAAATCACTTGTAACAAGCATTTTTGCTGATACTCGTAAATAATTAAAAAAACAAAAAATTAAACAATTATTATTTCTGGTTTTTAGAAGTGATAATTTCGGTAAATAACTCTTGAATAAGCATAATGGATTCTAAGTAAAAGTATTTTACATCTACATAAAAATCGAGCACAATTTTCAGTGAAATAAAAAATTATAAAACCAAAATGTGGTAAATTTATGCTGTCATACATACATATACAATTTTAAATTAATATTTTTATTTATTTTATTTTTTTACTCAAAAAAATGTTTTTTTTTTCAATTTCGTTCATTTACAAAATATGATAGTATTAGTAAAAGTTAGTAAAGAGTATAAAATTAACATTTTTTTAAAATACAGATACATGTTTTTTTTAAAGCCATGGTGTGGAATCAAGGTTTATTTTTGATGTTGACAAATAGTTTCTGAACTATTTTTGATACAAAATATTAATAAAAATATTTAAAATCAAGCGTTTTCTGCTTAAATTTTTTACTTTCTAAAACGAATTAGGAGTATTTATAAAAATGTAAATTTTTTTAATTCTTTTATTTTGTTTGCAAGCAAATACAGTATTTATCATTTTAACAAAGCTTAAGACTATTTAAAAAATAAATACAGGGATTTGATTCTACACCTGAACTAAACACTTTATTGGGATAAGAAAAATTTTGAATATTTACAGTACTTATCTTCTCTTACAAATCTAAAATTCTCTCTCTCCACATCTTATTTTCAAAGTTTTTTAAAAAAAATGTTGATAGTTTTATTGAGTTGGTATAAACAAAAAATATAGTACTATTTTATTCAAATTATTCCTCGTATTTTGAGATTCTAGAGATTTTGCATTTTTAGTATTTTTACACTAAACTACAAAAACTATTTACTCTACGTCTCTCTTCTTAAATCTACCACCGAAAAAAATTGTCGCTTGTATGCAGCCCATATTCTAAAAAAAGATATTTAAACGAATTTCCAAATGAAAAAA